TACACAACTCTGATTTGCCTTTACAGTTACCACAACTTTATTATCTGCTGTTTATTCTGTGATTTTATCAGTTCTGTGCTCCTTACTGAGTAGGGGGAAAAAAACAACAACCAAATGCACTGGCCTTGAGTTGGATCCGACTCCTAGCGACCCCTTGTTGGGTTTCTGAGGCAGTATCACTACAGAAGTAGATTGCCCAACCTTCCTTCTGAGTGGCTGGTGGGTTTGAACTGCCAGCCTTCTGGTTAGCAGTCAAGTGCCTTAGGCACTATGCTACCAGAGCGCCTTACTGAGTAGGTATTGAAAGAGGCAAAATGGATTTCCCTTTTCTAGAACTGCTCCTCTGCAGTGGGATTTAAAGGCAGACTACTTGGGTTCAGTCCCACCTACCACTTACCAGCTGTGTGACCAAGTGATCTAATCTGTGGGTACCTTGGTGCCTCCATCTGTAAAATGGGATTGGAGCCTGTTACAGAGCTATTATGAAGAGTTACTGAACTGGTAGGTGTAAAGGTATTAGGCCAACACTCTTGCAGAAGCCTATGTCACTGGTTACCGCACATTTGGCTGAGTCTTTCATGTCTATCAGGGGAGCATAATTTAAAGTACAGATGGGCATATCTGACGCTGAGGCAGATATCAATGTGGTGATACGTGCCGTGTAGGAATGAAATAAATACATTTCTGCTTTTTAGCTCAGCCTTCCTTTCTACTTGACCTTGTAGCAGATCCTACAACTGTGTCTGCTGCTGCCTTTACTTTTGTTTCTACTGATTAGAAATTTTTCTTTTAACGATAGAGGTAGTTTTTTGTCGTCTTTCTTAGTGTCTTGATTCTTAAATCTTTGTATCCCTGGCTTTTGTGATGCTGTTTACTACCGGGAAGGCTCTTTCTTTCCTGAATTTTTTCAAACTCTTTTGTTCCTGGATGCTCATCTCTTCCAGTCCCAGGACTTCTAGTTTCAGCGATTGGGCTGCTAGCTGGAGATGCCTTTCCTGAGAGCCAGTCCTGATCTCTTGCTGCTGAATGGCCGTCTAGATTGCTACTGTAAACCAGAACACAGCCCTCCTGAAACTCTTGTCCTGCCTTGTCTCCTTCCTCCCCTCCAAAAAGTTCTGAGTTTCATAGATTCCTGTATTAGTAACAAATGACCACAAACTTGGTGGCTTAAACAAAACAACACGAATTCATTATCTTACAGTTCTGCAGGTCAGAAGGTCCAGTGCTGATCTCACTGGATTAAAATCAAGGTGTTGGCAGGCTGCATGCCTTTCTGGAGGCTCTAGGTGAGAATCTGTTTCCTGCTTATTTGGGTCGTTGGCAGATTCAGTTCCTTGTGATGCTAATCAGTCCATTTTCTTACTGACTATAAACTGAGGACCATTCTCAGTTCCTAGAGGCCACCAAATTCCTTGGCTTGTGGCCTCTTTCCTCCATCTTTAAAGCTGATAGTGGCGACTCAGGTCCTCATATCACATCTCTCTAACTGCAGCTGGGGAGAGTCTGTTTTTAAGGACTTACGTGAGTAGATGGGGCCAACTGGATAATCTGGGATAATCTCCCCATCTTACAGTCTACAGTTACATCTGCGAAGTCTTTTGCCAAGAGAGGTGACATATTCACAAGTTTCTGTGATTGGACCATGAACACCTTTGGGGGGCCATTCTGGAGACCACAGATAGTACCTTAGTATCTACCTACCTTACCCACCATTCAGCCGGTCTCAGGAAACAGGGCGACAGAATTTGGAACTTCTCTTGTGTGGTCTTCACTCTTCCTGCTATAACCAGGAGTTCTGATTTAGAAAAGTTAGCGTAATTTAACATTTTTAAACCTCTTCCTGTCCAATCTATGAGGAGCCCTGGTGGTACAGTGGTTAAAGCATTTGGGTGCTGACTAAAAGGTCGGCAGTTTGCATCGAGCAGCTGCTCCACGGGAGAAAGATGGGGCAGTCTGCTTCCATAAAGATTTATAGCCTTGGAAACCCTGTGGGTAAGTCTGCTGTCTGCTACAGTGTCGCTGTGAATCGGAACTGCTGGACAGCAGTGAATGGGTGATTATCCCGTCTATAGTGTACGTTTCTGCCAGATAATTTTCCTAAAGTTTGGCTCTGATATTGTGGCTTCTACTTCCTCTGTGCCTCCTTGGATAGCTTGTTAATTGTGGAACAAAATTGATGATTTTTAGCCTGAAAATTCTTTTAACCTTCCTTAGATTAACCCTGCAGCCTTCTCTCTCTGGACTTGCCTTTCCTACCCTGTGTGTCAGCAGATTCCGTTTGTTTCCTGGGTGGTCCCTAGTGTGGTGCACTGTGGGGGCATCTTCCTCCCGCCAGTCACACAGTTCTCTCAGCTGTCTAGAGCTCCCCTTCCTGATGTTCTTTCTCCTCCCAAGCCCTCAGTATTTGTCTTCTTCATGACCATTATATATGTTTATCTTATCTCCCTTGTAAGACTAAGTCTCGGAGTGAAGGAACTAGAAGTGAATCATGGGCTGCTAGGCTGGAAGGAATCTAAGATTGTTTTAGGTCTTACCGTGCAGCTGTTCTTGAGTACTCTGCTAGGTCCTTTATATCTTTCTAGTCCTCTTGGTCATGAAGATGAAGCAGATGTGAGCTGGTGTCATCACAGCTTTGCTGGAGAAAGGATAGAACTGCAAGTTAAGGCCCCGGCGGGCGCTGGGGAGGAGATGCTCACTGCCGAGCAGCCTTCTTCCTGTCAGCGCGTCTTGCTCTTCTGTGCTTGAGCCGAACTCCACTCCACTATGAGGCCAGGCAGGAGAAACCAGTTTTCACTGAGCAAGGCATCCTCGGAGTTCTGAAGATTTCTTTGTTTCTCTTTTTGTCAGGCTAAATCTCCCAGTTCATAGGAAGGGTTGGGAGAATTCAGAGTTGCAGCTCTGTCTCGTGCCCACATGTCAGAGTGATCTGCATTTTGGAAAGGGCCCCTTGCTGGACTTCGTGGTCAGTTAAACCCTGAGACATATTCAGGATCAAGGGACTGGCTGGTCGAGGTAGGAGCTGTGTCCTACCTCAGGTTTATAAGCTGAATGACTGAAGTCAGATACAGGGCCTGTTCAGTAGCACGTGTGCTTCTGGCTTTGAGTGCCGAGTTCTAGGGCTGTCCTCATGTAGGGTTCTTCTAGCACCTGAGTTCCTGCCAGGGTAGAATGAATGTGCCTGGAAGGGGCCCCACGTGCTCCTGCAAATCTTAGTTCTGAGTGTCCTTCAGTCCAAATTCCACAGTGTTACACTATATCAGCAGGGTGCTGAGTGTCTTTTCTGTTGGAAGGCCTTTCCTGCCCACCCAGCAAGTTAGGAGGTCCCTGTCTGGTGTCACTGACATCTGGGTCACTGCCTGAAACAGGGCCTGGCATGCAGGAGACATGCATTCCGAGCAGCCACTATAGGACAGCCATCCAGCAAAGTCCATCATCACTCCTGATTTTGCTGCTTACACTTGCCTTCTGGAAAGCCCAGCCTGGAAGAGCTGTTTCTGCCCTGCAGGCTCAAATAGCACCTAGCTAGTCTGTCAGTGCTGGATGGAAGGGCACAAAGATGGAGGAGGCCTACCCTGCCCACGGTGCCCCCCCTCCACTGACAGATGCTCAGCCAGCTGGTTAAACCTGTTCTCACCCCGTTGCTCACAGTCAGACTAGGAGCAACAGCCTCTCAGCTCAGCTCCTTCTACTTGGCGTCTTCTCTTCTTTTGTTTGTTTTCCCTCTCCCTCCTAAAAATGGCAAGACACTAATCTTCAATAAGGGAGCTCTGGTAGCCCAGGCACTTGAGTGCTCACCAGAAGGCTGGTGGTTCCTCCACTCCTCGGAAGGAAGGTTGGGCAATCTACTTCTGTAATGATACTGCCTTGGAAACCCAAGGAGGTGTCGGTCGGTATGAGTCGGGCCGACTGAATGGCACTTAACAACAACAACAACAATCTTCAATTAATCAAATGATTTTCCGGCTGAACTCATGATAGTTCTGCACTTGTGAACAATTAGATAAAAATATTCCCAAGGGTGAGCTCTCTTTGGTCAGAGGCCAACCTTCCTCCTAACTTCCATTCTCTCTCTCCTACGCACAGGTACCCCTGCATCCTTGGATGCCTGATCTCCCCCATTTCATGCTTTCCTTATTAGAATGCTGTTGTTCCCCAGCTTGGCCTTTAGAATATTGGCTGTTCCTCACAGTATCCTTATCCTGTGGCCCTGGGTCACTTATTCTAACACCAGCCATGCTGTGGCTCTTATTAGACCCACATAGGAGGAGACCAGCTGCGTGTCGTTTAACCGGCAGGATTCCAAATGCTTGAGCTACTCCCCTTTTCTGGTACTTGTAAAAATATCTGTGTCATCTCTCATAATGAAAAGCTGCTCCCAAACTGGAGGGCCTCATTCAGATCACAATGACTTCTTGGTGTGTAGGCATTACTGTAGGAGTTCTAGATAGTGGAGGGAGGAAAAAGTCACTTTTTTTTTTCTTCCTAACATTCATGTATTAAAAGGAGCCTGCCTGGGTAGCATAAGCATTTTGTAGTCGGCTACTAACTTAAAGGTTGGCAGTTCAAACTCACTTAGCAACTCCATGGAAGAAAGGCTGGAGATTTGCTTCCATGAAGATTACAGCCAAGAAAACCCTGGGGAGCGGTCCTGTTAACACACGAGTCAGAGCGACTTGATGGCAACTAACAACAGCAAAAACGTGTGTTAATCTAGCTCCAGAGATAATGCCTATTGTATTAATTCTTATTTATTTTATCGTGGCAAAAATATACACAGCAAACATACACCAGTTTAACAGTTTCTCTATGTGTAACTCAGTGACATTGATTATATTCTGCAAACTGTATGACCATTTCATTATCCTTTTCTAATTTATTCTACCACCATTGATAGAAACTCACTGCCCCCTAAGCCAAATCTTCCTTTTCCCCTGATTATTTCTTACAGGTTAAAAAAAGAAAAAGTTGCTTAATAAGCATTTCTTTCTTTCTTCTCCCAGGCTTAAAGATTTGGAAAGAGATAGTTTAACGGAAAAGGTAATCTCTACTTTAAGTGTTTTTTTTTTTTTTTTTTAAACTACCCACTGTGACTGTTTGATAGATACTTTGTGGCTGATTAAAAGATTTCAGGTTCCTGCTTTTAAGTAAATATGCTTCTTTTCCCGAAGTTTCAAGGATAACTTAGATACTCTGTAGTAATATTAGTAGGGTTTTGGTAACTCATTGCAGAGTTTACTAGTCTAGATTCTAAGCCGTTATCTCTGTACTATGACTTGTCCTGGTAACACTTTCCAGAAGCACAGTTTTGTTCTAACACACCGTTTCATATTTCCCTCCCACCTCTGATCTTCCCATTTTCACTACTTTAAAGGTGGGTGTGATATGATCTTCATCATGAATATATTTTGTGAATACTTAGTTTTTTTTTTTTTTGGCTGAGACAGCATCACTTGCCATTTAGTCATTAATACTTGATCAGGCAACTTAATTATTTGTGTTTTAGTCTCAGTTAATGGCTTAGGAGTTTGGGGACTTCTAAACCTCTCTCCTTCCCTTAGGAATGTGTGAAGGAGAAATTGAATCTCTTGCATGAATTTCTGCAAACAGACATAAAGACTCAGTTATGTGACTTGGAAACTAAACTACATAAAGAAGAATTATCAGAGGTAAGTCACTTCTCAGCATCCCGGCTTCTAGAAAAGTCTCCTTCCGTGTAACTTATCTTTGGCCAGGGAGACAGAATAATCTCCAGCTCTCCTTGTTGCCTGATGATGATGAAGGAAACGCATGTGTTTCCTTGTTCTCTTATTGCCACTTGTTTACATTCACTGCTACTTAAATTATCCTTTCCTGCTGTAGGAGGGCTACCTGGCTAAAGTCAAATCCCTTTTAAATAAAGATTTGTCCTTGGAGAATGGAGCTCATGCTCGGGAAGTGAATGGATGTCTAGAAAACGGGAGCCATACGAGTGGCAAGGATCGCAGAGTGGGAATGGCAGAGGCAAACAAATCCTCCAAACCGGTTTCAAAACCTCGCCTGTCCCGAAGAAGCAAGTCAGATGGAGAGACTAAGCGTAAGAACACTTGACTCGTTTTCAACCTTGATGGAGATGTCCGTAGTACTACTTATTTCCTAACTAGCTCAGAGGTGTGCTTCTTTGCATTTTGTCTTTGACCAGGTATAGAGCAATAGATCCCAAACATGGCTAAAATTCAGGAGAGGCAATTAATTAGGTGACAGGCGCTACTACTGTTCTAAGAAGTTACCAAATTTTTATGCAAATAACACACATTTATGGTTGTTGCAAACTGCACAACCCACATCACTTTCCTATGTGTGCTGTGTGCTATATGTGTATGTACATTATGCCAGGGGGTATGATGTGCCTGAAAAATACGGTATCTGTCTATTCAGCTAAATATTTGTTCTTAGACTTCTTCCCAGTTTCTAGGCAAAGTAACTCTATTGCACTTTAAGAAACAAAGAGCACAGGGCTTGAGTCTGGTTCGCAGCTACTTTATCTTGACAGTCTAAGAGAAGGTTCCTTTTCTCTGTCACTTCAGGGTTTGGTCCCCTCAGACAAGAGCACGTGCAATGTAAAGTAGCTCAGAATACTAGCAGGTGCTAATTGCTGACATTTGTTTGTGGGTATGGATTAGAATAAAAAACAAGGGATGCTCAAGCCTCAAGCGGTTCCCTGCAGTAGCCTGGCAGTGTTGAAGAGCTACACTATTGTTGTGGACATTTCTATTCATGGTGGCTTTTTTCTTATTTCTTTAAATAGCTGAAGTTTCACCTAGCCCCAGGATCACAAGGAAAACAACCAGGCAGACCACCATCACATCTCATTTTGCAAGGGGGTCAGTATATAATGAATTGACAACTGCCTTTTCTAAAGGTCTACTGTTTTGGTAACATTAATGGAATCTGTAGGGAGTACTTTAGCAATTCTGACTTCTGTATCTCAGAGGTTTTTTATCTTGCAGTTTTGTTCATTAGATATTCATGAGAAGCATTTTTGAAGACCTCATCTATTTTTATTCTTACAAGAAGTCTTAAATATATACAAGGTTAATGAGGATGGATGGTATAATGAGCCTCCATGTTTACCCATCACCCATTGTCAACCAGTTATCAACTTGTGGCCATCATTTCATCTCTACCACCATATGTGCCATCCTCCAATTGGATTACTTCGAAACAAATCACAGGCTTGTCATCATCTGTGAATATTTCAGTGTATTTCTAGAAGACAAGATCTCTCTCTTTTTTTTTTAGTAAAACATTCTATAGTACTATTTTCATGCCTAACAAAATATAACATTTTCTTTTTATGACATATATAGTCAATGTTCACATTTCCCTATTAATGGCAGATGTTCTGGGCCTACACAATGTTGAGTTGTGTTGATTTGTTTCTTAAGCCTTTCATGTTATGGATTGCTTCCCTCTTATTTTCTTACCATTTATTAAAGAAACTAGATTATTTGTCCAAGTAAGTTTTTGGCTTTGACTGTTTGCATCCTTGTGGTGGTTGATGTGTTTTCCATGTCTCATCTGTTCTGTAAACAGGGAGTTAGGTCTATAGCTTGATCAGCTTTCAGCTGTTTGTTTTTGGAGGCTGACTTCTTCTTGGATGATGGTGTATTCCTCCATGAGAAGTGTATGATGTCTTCTCTTTGTGATGATAGTCTAGACCCCTGATTTCTTAGGGCTGCGGAATGGTTCTAAACTTGTCATTCAAACAAGCATTATACTGGAAGCTTCTTTTACCTTTTTGGCAATGGGGACTTCTCCTGGGAGGGAATAAAGCACCCATGCTCTCAGTGGGTCCTAAAGAGAGAGCTCTCAGTAGGGAAGAGTTTAGGTCATTTCGAGCCCACTGAAGGTCTAGGGTCCTGGTGCGCTAACAATCGCCCTCACTGTGACAGCCCTGCCAAACGGAAACCTGAGGAAGAGCCTGAAAAAGCAAAACCAGAAGATTCTGTTGATGAAGAAGAAAAAGACCAGGTAGGACTGCTATTTTCAAGTTTCTTATTTTTGGTGATTTTATTGATATTTTTGATATGTTTGCTGGTGATTGTGCCCTTGTACCCAATCTGTCAAAATGGACTTGACTCAGCAAGAGGGCATTAGTATACATCCTTGGACCCAGGGCAATACCAGGTCTGTTACAGTTAGACCCAAGGACTCAGCAGTTCTCTATGCCTCAGAGGGCAGCCCTGTAGCTTCAGAGTCTGTCCTCTGTCTGCCTTCCTATTGCTCTGACAAGATTTATGCCAGTCCAGCTAGCAGATGTGATGTGTTTAAAGTCTTTGCTTCTGATGTCAGATAAACTTCTTTACCACATCCAATTTTTTTGTAAGAGGAGAGAATTGGACAGTTGCTATTTGCAGTGTAATAATGCTGCTTAGGCCCTGTAGGCTAAAAAGCTGATGGCTTGCTGAAGGCCTCCAATATAGAAAACGTTAATCCCTTAAGGTACTGTCCTGTGTGACATAAGGAAGGTCAAACCTACATAGGACCAGATGGTCACATGCTATCGCTTACCATTTTTGTTTTGCTGCAGAGTTAGCTATGTAAATTATGGGGAAATCCTAGAGGTTTATGTGTGTTTAGTGAATGCCTTACCACTACCTGGTAAAGATGGGTATTCATGGTTTGCTCTAAGGCAGACTTCAACCTCGGCACTAACATTTGGGGCCATGGACACTTTTGACATAATTTTCCGTTGTGGGAGAATGTTCTGTGCATTGTAGGGTGTTTGCAGCATCTTTGGCCTTTAACTCCTAGATGCCAGTATCACCCCCTCACCCCCACCCCCGTTATGACAAACCATCTTCAGACATTCATTGCCAGATGTCCCTTGGGGGTAGAATTGACCTGGGTGGGGAGTACTGGGCTAAGGGGACTGTCTCAATATCACTCTGATATATTTGACATCCGATTGTAAGACATATTAATTCTTGGACTTCTGGTAAGATGGCAAAATAGTTAAGCTACACACACCCTCTTCAACAAAGAGAAGAGAAACCAATTGACACAGGTACAAAAGATAATCCGAGTCCTGAGCTTTGAAAGGATGAATACAGAAATGGATTAAATACCAACTAGTAGAAGAATCTGAGTGAAAACAATGAATAAGGAGACAAATGGAGCCGTGGACTGTCAGCTATCCTGACTGCTCGGCCAGTTTGAATATTGCAAGTGGTGTTAGAACCTGGGCGGTAACCTAAAAATTGGCCCCACTCACCAAGGGCTGCAAGGACAACTGCACTAGTGGCTGAGGACTAAAAATGGAAACAGCAAAGAAAAGTGGCAAATAACCGTGGACTTTCAGCTGTCTGGAGCCACTTTGAATGTTTATAAACAGTGTGGCTATTTTGGATATTTAAGGTGGCAGTGTTACAATCTTGGTGACTTAAGGGTATGCTCCACTTGCAGAGGACAACACAGGCAACCATACTGGAGGCTGATGACTGGAAAGGTGTGATATTCCCTTTGTTACTCTTATAATCCCACACCTTGGTGAATGGAGGTGTGGCCATCTGATATTCCCATTGTTACTCTTATATCCCACACCGTCTTAGTGAATGGAGGTGCAGCCATCCCCCACCTCCACCTACCTTCTGGACTGGCCGGAATTCCATCCCAGTGTGTGTACTCTAATGGATCCTGGAGTCCATCCTCCCCCTTTTTGTTTGTTTTTAAATTACTCTTGCTTCCTTCTATTTTATTTTTATTCTTTCTTTTTCCCTTCTCAGGTTCTAGGTTTTTTTTTCTTATTCTTTTACTTTAGCTCTTTTCACTTAGTCTCTCCTCCCCAGATATTGTAGGTGATTTTTTTCTCTTTCTATTTATATTTCTTTTGACTTTTTAAAGTATTTCTTTGAATATTTCTTCTCATTTACTGCCTTTCCTTTTTTTTTTTGGTGATTGTTCCTGTGTGTTTATGCAGTATGTGTTTTTTGTCCTCTTGTTTTTACTTTTTTTTTTTTGATTGTTGTTTTTGTCTGAGTGGGAGACAAACTGTGCCCATATGACCCAACCTTACCCGCACCTCCTGCAGCCCCACCTACTGAGTGAGGGCCACCACTTGCTTCTGTACCAACTGGCCAATGATACAAAACAGCCAATATGAGCTTGACTCACCCTTAACTACTCTCCATAAACAGCTAACAGAGATCTAGCACCCACTCTCGTTCTCTATCACACATACCAGGAGACAGGTGGTGAGTGCATAAGTGCTGCCAATTAGTGAATAGCAGAGCGCAGTACCCTGCTTACTCAGATATATGAAAACAAAACAAAGAAAAAAAATATCCGGGGTGAATCACACCAGCATACTCACCAATTAAATATAAATATAATGACATCACAGCGTCTTGGGAGACAATAGACCATCATAATCCACACAAAGAAGCAAGATAAAGTAGTAGAAACAAATGGCCAGGATATTGACCCAGAAAACATCCCTGAGGACGAAGCAGCATTGGAACTCCCTGATAAAGAATTCAAAAGAATTATATTTAGGTACCTTCAATGGAGTAAGAGACAGATCAAGGAAAACACTGACAAAATTAAGGAAAACAAAGACAAAAGTCTAGAACAATTTTGAAAGACAATATATGAACAAAATGACAAAATAAGTGAAAAATGAGAAGTGATACAAAATGTACAGATAGAGATACAGAAGGTTAATACTAAAATTTCAGAAATAGATAACACATTAAATGGGCAAACGAGTGGAATCGAGCCAACAGAGACAGAATTAGTGAGATAGAGGACAAATACCTCAATACTCTTTTGGTAAGGGATCACTCAGAAAAAAGATCAAAACAAAATGAAGAAAGCCTAAGATTCTTGTGGGATACCACCAAGGGGAATAACCTACATATAATCAGAATTCTAGAATAGGAGGAGACAAATAAAACCCCAGAGAAAATTGTCAAAATTTTGTTGGAAGACTTTCCCTGATATGATGAAAGACGAGAATATATCTATTCAAGGAGTTCAACAAACCCCAAACAGGATAGACCCCAAAAGAAAGTCACAAAGACATTATAATCAAACTCACTAAAACCAAAGAGAAAGAAAGAATCCTGAAAGCAACATGGGAAAAACAAAAAGGTACCTACAAAGGGCACTGAATAAAACAAAGTTCTGATTTCTCAGCAGAAGCCATGCAAGTGAGAAGGCAGTGGGAAAGATAGATAGATAGATATAACCCTGAAAGAAAAAGTCCAACTAAGAATTATATACCCAGCAAAACTGCCCCTCAAATATGGTAGTGAAATTAGGACATTTCCAGATAAGCAGCAATTAAGGGAATTTGTTAAAACTAGGCCAACTTTACAAGAGATCCTAAAGGGAGTCCTTTGAACAGAGAACCAACAACAGCAAACAGCTAACCATTAGCGTACACGATGACATAACCAGAAACCAATCTTGTTATGGAAGGTATCCAAAGTAAAATAAGCTTACAAGACTGTAAACAGGGAATCAGTGATATCAATTGGTAAGTGAGGACAACTACAAACCAAAAA